TTGAACCCTGGAGGCGGCGGTTGCAGTAAGCCAAGATCACGCCACTGCACTCCAGCCTGGGTGACAGAGAGAGATTCTGCCTCCAAAAAAAAAAAGTTTCTCTATTAGTTTTTAAAGATTGCAGATGTCCATGGAATCTTAAGGGTTATTACCACAGTAGAAATGGGAATCTAGTTTTTAAAAAAAGATGCAGTTGAATATAAAATTTTTCTTTCTGTTTCCATCTGCCTGTGCCTCCTTCCTGCACTCCTTCCCTCCATTCCTCCCTGATTATAGTGTATGTAATATTACTGCCTAGCTATTGGACAATAAAATTAACTTATAGGTCAAGCACAGTGGCTCAGGCCTATAATCCTAGCCCTTGGGGAGGCTGAGGAGGGAGGAGTGCTTGAAGCCAGGAGCTTGAGACCAGCCTGGGCAACAAAGTGAGATCCTGTCCCTATAAAAAACCAAACCAAACCAAACCCCAGAAAACAAAATTAGCTGGGAATGGTGGCATACTGTGGCCCTAGCTACTTGGGAGGCTGAGGTGAGAAGATCACTTGAGCCCAGGAGTTTGAGGCTGCAGTGAGCTATGATTGCACCACTGCCCTTCAACCTAGGTGACAGAGTGAGACTCCATCTAATACATACATACATACATACATATGTACATAATCAACTTCCAGATTTCTAATTCTTTGATGTTCTCTTCAGATGTCAGGATTTTTACCTATATACTCTTTCACAGAAATGTTTTTATATTCATAAATGTGAATAAAGAATTCAAGAGGACTTGAATACTGAAAGGTAGTAAAAATAACTTAGGGACTTGAAAAGGCATTTACAGTTTGGCTGAATATATAAAGCTAAAATGTCTTTATGTTGGAGACGTAAAAGTAAAAACGGTTCTGGTTGGGTGTGGTGGCTCACGCCTGTAATCTCACCACTTTGGGAGGCTAAGGTGGGAGGATAGCTTGAGCCCAGGAGTTTGAGACCAGCCTGGGCAACACAGTGAGATCCCTTCTCTACAAAAAAATTTAAAAATTAGCTGGGCATGGTGATGCACACCTGTCCCAGCTCCTTCGGTGTCTGAAGTGAGAGGATTGCTTGAGCTTGAGAGGTAGAGGCTGCCATGAGCCATGATCTGCCACTGCCCACCTGCCAGGGTAACACAGTGACTCCTTGTCTCAAAAGGTGAGAACAAGAAAACCCTAATTCTTTGACAAAAGTAAGTTCACCGTTGTTAGCATTGTGTAGGATTTAAATTTAGACATAAATAATTGTAATAGATTGAATGCAAAGCTACCCTTATGGAAAAAGTATAACTATGATTAAAATTGTATCCATGCAAAACTATGTGTGGTTTTTTGTTTTGTTTTCTTTTTTAGTTATTCCATTCTCTTTCTTGGTTCAGTGAGTAGCACAAGTAAAAGTGGCATGGTTTACTGGAATTAAAGAATTTCAGGTTTTTAGTGCTTGAATTTCTTTTAAATAACTGAACATCTATGGTGATTGGGTGCTATCCTACCATTTTTCATTTTGACTGAGTCAACGTTTTTCTTCATATTGTGTCTTTATCATAAATTTGCTCCTGGTTTGACCCTTTGTGCTCTATAAAACGAGTCTATTTCTTTTCATGCATATTTGTTAAAGATGGAAATGATATTGTAGTGGAGGTTTTCATTTCTTGGCTAAATATTCTCAGAGTCTTTCCTCACATTGCAGCTGTACCATAAATAGCTGGTCCGATCTTGGCAAGTTACTAAATCTGTGCTTGGTTTCCTTATCTTTAAAATAAGAATGTTGGTATGTGGCTCAAATTTATTGTGAGGATTGAGTTATTACATTTAAAATACAACATTTGTCTGGCATGTAGTACACATTCAGTAAATGTTAGACACTACAGTTGACCCTTGAACAAAATAGGGGTTGGGAATAGACCTCCTGCATAGTTGAAAATCCCCATATAACCTTTGACTCCCCTAAAACCTTCTAATAGCCTACTGTTGACCCAGAAGCTTTACCATATAACATAAACAGTTGATTAACACAGATGTTGCCTGTTACATGTATTTTATACTGTATTCTTGCAACAAAGTAAGCTAGAAAATAGAAAATGTTATTAAGAAAATCATAATGAAGAGAAAATATATTTACTGTTCATTAAGTGAAAGTGGACCAACCTAAAAGTCTTCACCCTCTTTGTCCTCACAATGAGTAGGCTTGAGGGAGTTCAAACTGTGTTGTGTTGTTCAAGGAACAGCTGTATTGTTATTTCATCTTACATTGTTTCTCATCCATCTCCTCTATTCATGAACCTGTTTGTCTTTCTCAAAGCATAGCTGAATGCAGTGGCAGCTGTGATCTGATCAGCCTAGAAGGAGCAGTACAGTCATTTCTTCCCCCATTAATATGGGTCAAAGTTGGAATTAATTTTTAAACATTGATTGTGGAGAATTTAAAACATACAAAAAAGTAGACAGGCTAGTATGATGGACCCTCATGTACCCATCCATCATCCCCAGCAACACAACCAATCCAGCCCTATTTGTACTTCATTCAGTTCCTCCATGATACAATTGTAGCTCCTCTATTATACCTAGACTTCTTGCCTGATTTATCTTGATAATTCCTAAAGCTTTTTTTCTTAGTAGATAATTGTTGAATTAATGAAAAATGAATCTCACCTTGGATTCATGCCTGGATCAGCTTCTATAGTTTGCTTGCATAGGTGGATGAGCAGGATTGAAAATAGATTCATCTATATTTACTAGATGTCATTCCAGTTTTATTTAAATAATTTCTTCCATATCTGCTCATGGATATATATATATATATATATATATATATATATATATATGTTACTGGTGCAGTCTCTGAGTATGCTAGGAAATAATTCCAATTATCTGGGATAAAAGACTTGAATTTACTGTTTTCTTAGAGTCTTTATTATTTTGAGCTTGAAGACTTTACCAGTGTTTATCATAGGACTTCCGGTCTAACAATCATTTTGTCTTAACTGGATGGAAGCAGAACTGAAGAACTATACTTTATTTGCCGTCTTTGTTGGAATTATTTTTTAAGACAGATTTGTTATGGAATAATTTATATACTGTAAAATTGTTGTAATTTGTTGGGTTCAAATTAGAGATCTTTCTTCCCAGTGTCCGTTTGCTCCAAACACAATAAAAAGACAGCTGCCATTGTAACTGACTGTAGCACTTTTTTCCAGCTTGTTTTTTTATAACTCTATTTTTACTTGTGCCTTCTTAGTTGTTACTGTGCCTATAGCATTTACTGAAGTTTTAATAAATTCATGGTTGTTTTTAAAGTGATACTGAAGTGTGTTACTCCTGCTTAAAACAGGGATAGAGACAATATAATAAGCCTTTGGTTGTGTTCAGCTAGTGGGATAGGAATTCTGAAGGTGAAGTATGACAGTCAAGAGTTATATAGAGAGGATAGCTTCTAGCACTCAGATCACTACCATCACCCTAAAATTGAGTCTCTGTGAGCCTGCTTGGTAGAAACAGCGAGCTGAGACAGGATTTGTACACTCCATACACTTCAAAGCAAAAGGAGGCTTAGTGAAAATGAGTTTAGACTTACCCTCTAATTTATCCAATAGTGACTTAGTACAGCCCTGCTTTTCCCACTCATAGTTCTAGTTTTAAATGAAATATCTTTAGCTGGAGAGGAGTCTTACCTTTCAGTGTTAGCAGTTTTACCTTAAATATTAAAAATATCTTCGAGGAGTAGTTGACAAGGACTTGAAAACAAGAATAAGATTTGTGTTACAGAGGAGGCTGAGAAAAGTGTTCTGATAGAGAACATCATGTGACCATGACACCATGGCCTGTGAACTTCAAAATTGCAGTATTTCACCTTTGATACTTCTGCTAGTTTGCTTACTTCTGAACTTAAAAGATTCAGAGAATATCTATTCACTTATTCATTCAGAAAATATTTGTTGAGTATCTGTATGCTGGGGGGTGTGTTGCTCACTGGCTAAACAAAACAATGAACAAAACAGATGAACTTGCCATTATATAGTTTATGGTCTAGTAGGAAACAAAATGAAAGTTATTCGAAGCCATAAAGAAAAATTGTGCTTTGCTTATATTTCAAGGACTTCACCACTTATTTTAAAGTGAACTTGGAGTGACTTTTTTTTTAGTTGTTTTGCAAAATGTATTTGAGCATTCAGAGCTTTGAGTTTAACGTGTTTTTCTATGTGTATTGATAGTGTGAAATTAAACAGAGAGGCAGGACAATTTAAACAGGGAGAATATTAATTAGAATAGATGTACTATAGTGAGATTTCAGGATAATGACATGTAATATATGTGTGGGTAAAACTATGTGTTAGCTGTGCCAAATGGACCTTTGCAAACAGGAAAGTAAAAATATCTTTATGGTCTTTCTTCTCTTTAAATGATTAATACTTAAGAATTGAACATTTGTCTTTATCTTTCATGCAGAAGAAAAACCAGATTTGTTGATGGAAAAGTAAATCTTTAGGAGGGAGGGTATAATAGAGCAAATGGAAACCATGAGACTAAGATCACGTTGGAATTATGTGACTGTGTCATGTGTCTCTGGGCGAGAAAACATGCCTCAAATTCCTTTTTCCAACATAGTACAACAAAGTGGCTGAATTTAGTGATCCCTCCTAATGTTAAGATTTTATCATTGTAATTTTTTTTTATCTAGCAGTTTCTTAATGACTTAGATTGTTGGAAAGTCAAAATGCTTTTTTTTTGTTGTACTTGTTCAGGTTCAAGAATTAAAAACTTAAGATGGGGGAAGAAGGCTTGGCTTTCTCTAACTGTTATTTTCTGTAGGTACTTCGTAACTCAGGAAGACCTCATTTATTCCCAGTAATATGTTTTACTAAACTCTTTCAGGTAACTCTTAAAAGACTGTGTGACTTAATAGTAGATCATGGCTTGAACTCAGTTTTTATTTCTTGTTGTTACTAGAAATTTTTTGTGAGATATTTTTCTTTGTCTCTGTAGTTATCAGAGACTATTACAGACGATTGCTGTACTCGAGGCTCAGCGTTCTCAAGCAGTCCAAGACCTTGAAAGTTTAGGCAGACACCAGAGAGAAGCACTAAAAAATCCCATTGGATTTGTGGAAAAACTCCAGAAGAAGGTATACATTGAACACTTTTTAAGATTTACTAAAATCTGTGCGGGAATAGCTTAAGAGAATTTGGTTTATTCTTTTTTATGGGTATATGCTTTTTAAAATGTTTAAGTTTTTTCTTCTATAATTAGCCACACAGCTTAAGGGAAGATACCAACTTCTTCCACCTCCACCAGGCATGCAGTAAAATATATCCAAATGAAAATAGCTGGAAGCTTTTATGGGATGTTTGTATGGGAACTTGTACAATTCCTTAGCCATATTTTTCTAGCTTTTCCTGTTACTTTCCCCGTCTTTGAGTGTTTTTCCTCCTGTGTTTCAGGACTTCAGGATTAGTAAGCTAAAAGAAAAAAATACTTCAGAATTAACTACTTTTGTTTCATTTGCACACTAGTACTTTTGTACATATTGAGAGAAAAAGCAATAGTGATAAAAACAAAATCAATTTTAAATGTCTTTAGAGTTATGATAGCCAAGTCTATGAGGAAGAAATATAAATTTTGCTTAATTTAAAAATGCCATTTTTAAATGTGAAAATTTTCCATAATTTTGTTTTTCTTAAAAGTTTCATGTTTAACACTTAACCACTTAAAAGTGATACAGGTTTTTATAGTGAGTTTCTTGGTGTGTAAATATGGAGATGATCTTGATGTGCATTTGTGCTGTAATAGGGACCCACTAATTGTTCATTAGATTTGAGGCATGTGTTATTAATCAGCATTCTGTGAAAAGATTAAAACTGAAAAATGATGAAAAAGAATCCTCTTCTTAAAAAAGAAGTTATCTTGCATAACAACTCTAGTATCTTTGTGAGTTACCTGTTTTTAGTGAGTTACAAAAGTAGTCTATCAGGTGTTAGGAGAGCAGTTCTGGGGACTTTATTTTACTAGATGTGTTAACTTATTATTTGAATTTTTCTAGCTATATTATTTAGTTGGTAAACATGTCTTTCTCTTCATGCATTTAGAAAACATTGAATATTATAATAGATGTAGAGTCTATATGTTGATTTGTTAAAACTTCTAAGGTTTTTAGAATTTTGGTATACCTTCTGTGTTAAAATGAGGCCCCTTTAAGTGTTTATTGATTCTGCATTGCTGTTACTAAATAATTTGCTGGTACAAAAAATATAAGACTTATAATGGTTATTTACAGTCAATTCAACTAAAGCAGATGGTGTTAGTAAAGTAAGTACTAATGAAAAATTTATTAACCTTAATCTCATTTCATTTACTTTCCCGAGTAGGCAAAAAGATGCAGTTAGGCATATTTACTGGATTTGTATGCAGTTGATTATTTGCTGATTCTTCATTTTCAGGTTTAGTCTAGAACGGACTTTCTTTTCCTTTTTTTTTTTTCTTTTTCTTTTTGTTTTTGAGATGGAGTCTCACTCAGTGACCCAAGCTGGAGTGCAGTGGTCTGATCTTTGCTCACTGCAACCTCTGCCCCCTGTGTTCAAGCGATTCTTCTGCCTCAGCCTCCTGAGTATCTGGGACTGCAAGTGCACTGCACCATGCCTGGCTGATTTTTGTGTTTTTAGTAGAGACGAGGTTTCACCATGTTGGCCAGGTTGGTCTGGAACTCGTGACTTCAGGTGATCTGCACGCCTCAGACTACCAAAGTGCCGAGATTACAGGCGTGAGCCACCGTGCCTGGCCTAGAATGGAATTTCTTTTCACTTTATTTCAGAAATAAAGATGTAATGTTGACCATCTTTAGAGCTTTTTACAAAAATACCCAAATATATTAAAGCCACATAATTTATTAACCATGAAGTTATCAGTGTCTGGGAATATTTTTTAAAGAAAAAAATTACCATGAAAGGCCTGTGTTCTTTGGAAAATATTTTTTCTACTAGATTTAATTTAAAAGGTTGATTCTTCTATTTTTCTGTGTTTGCTCATGCAAACTCAGCTTGCCTATTTTATTTAGGTTTGTCATATTAGTTATGTTGTTGACATGTAATATGTTTGTTTTAGTGGACATATAAAAAATTCCTCCTAGTTCACATTAATGAAACTGGTGATACATCTTGGTATTTGGAATGCAGAGAACAATTATGGCTCATTAGTTTTATTTAATATTACTATCATTATTTTAAAAGACACTTCCCTCCATCTAGAAGCAGTACTTATATTTTGCCAAATTCATTTCTTCTTCACTTACTGTTTTTAGCATTTAATATTTAGACTGTATTAATTAACTTTATTGTCTATTGCATTTAAATATGAATAGAAATACTCCATTGATTATTTGGATTTGGAGTCATCTGAAAATTTGACTGTGGTTGATTATTTCTTCAATTAAATTTAGACTTTTACTTTATTTTGTTTTATCTCCTCTGTCCCCAGGCTGACATAGGACTTCCATATCCACAGAGAGTTGTTCAGTTGCCTGAGATTGTATGGGACCAATATACCCATAGCCTTGGGAACTTTGAAAGAGAATTTAAAAATCGTAAAAGACATACTAGAAGAGTTAAGCTAGTTTTTGATAAAGGTAAGAAATCATATGATAAGAATTTAAGTAGAAAAATATCTGGCAGTGTTTTGCTTTAACGGTTCTGTATGTGGTCTTATTTTTCAGTAGGTTTACCCGCTAGACCAAAAAGTCCTTTAGATCCTAAGAAGGATGGAGAGTCCCTTTCATATTCTATGTTGCCTTTGAGTGATGGTCCAGAAGGCTCAAGCAGTCGTCCTCAGGTAAGCAGTATGAAATATTAGAGTAGGAAAATTTGAATTTTAGGCAAACATTTTAACATTCTGCTGGTTTGTATTCTTAGAATTAAAAAGTCTTTCACTGGAAGATAAAGGGGACATGAACTTTGAAATTAAGAGAAACTTAAGGTTGGCATCTTAAGTTACTAGCTGTGAACCTTCAGACATCATTTGTGTTGAAGTCTCTAAGCTGCAGTTTCCTCTTTTATAAAATGTATGTTGTAGGGTTGTTGTGAGGGTTAAGTAGGTAGTACATGCAATGTGCCTAGTACAGTATCCAACACATAGTATTTACTCTAAACATAGTAGCTCCTTTGTGTATAGTGACATGTGAACAGGATTTGAGTCCTGGCCTTGCCACTCTTAGTTAGATGAACCTCAGTAGACATGTTACTTTTCAATTCTGAACCCACATTTCCTTTTCCTTTGAAAAAAAAAAAAAAAAGTGAAATTGCAGTACTATCATGTATTCCACAGGATTGCTGAAGGTATGAAACCAAACGAAATAAAATAATGTGAAGACATTTTGTAAATAGTAAACAAACAAACAAACAAACATATACATTAAAAAAATAAATATACTCAAATATTTTAAAATTAATTTAAAAATTTCACAGTTTGTGTGTTATTTGGCTATATCAAAGGGTAGACTTTGTTATTTTCTCTCTGATAAAAGCCTTGTCTTATGTGCAGATGATAAGAGGACGCCTGTGTGATGATACCAAACCTGAAACATTTAACCAATTGTGGACTGTTGAAGAACAGGTAGTAGATATTTCAAAATCATGTAGGCTTAAAAAAAAAGTAAACAGTTAACGTTAGAGTCAGTATTATGAGGCCGGGTGCAGTGGCTTACACCTGTAATCTCAGCACTTTGGGAAGCTGATGTGGGCAGATCACTTGAAGTCAAGAGTTCATGACCAAGCTGGCCAACATGGTGAAACCCGTCTCTGCTAAAAATACAAAAATTAGCCAGGGGTGGTGGTATGTACCTGTATGATCCCAGCTACTCAGGAGGCTGAGGCAGGAGAATTGCTTGAACCTAGGAGGTAGAGGTTGCATTGAGCCGGGATCATGCCACTGCATTCCAACCAGGGCAACAGAGTGAGACTCCATCTCACAATGAAGAGAGTCCATATTATGAATTAGGTGTATGTTGTTGTATGTGATCCCTCTTAACCATGAGTTTTAAATATTTAGGCCTATTTTTGTATACCCCTTTGTGTACTTCAAGAATTTTGGATTTTGAGAATGTGTAAACTATTGTTTGGGGATAATTTTAAAAGAAGAAACCTGGGTTTTCAGAAGGCAGTAGAAATGGATGGAATAAAATAGATGTTTTGTAATGTAGCTTTGGGAGAGAGAAAAACCTGGGGCCAGTAAAGCTGAGCTTTAAGTGCATTCTTATTTTTGTTGTCGAGGAGAGAGGAGGAAGCCAAGTCAGTTCTGGCATACAGCTAGCATTGTCGTTTGGCTAATGGCAAGGGTTGTTTGTGGGTGAAGTTTGAGGCACATCTCGGTCTCATATGGGTATTAACCCCACAGCTATACATTTAGCAGTTTATAAAAAGCTTTGAGATATCTTTATTTATTTAAAGCATCCAGATTTTTCTGCATCTTTAGGACTATGAGAAGATAAGGAGACAGGAAAGAATATTAAAATCAAATATTTGAATTTGGGAAAAGAAGGAAAAGCCTCTTTTAATAGTCCAAATTTAATTGAATTTACACGTTTTTGTCAAAACTGTACGGGAAAGCCTGACGTATTCTAGTAAGAAAATATGGTCAGTGGAAATCACTAAAATGTGTAATCTACCAATTTGTTTACTTATTTTTTTTTTCCTTGTGTAGTCTTTTTACTTATGTGAATAGAAAACTTTTGTAAGCTCCTTCATAAGTTTATTCTCTAATTTCATTGTTCCCTGTGAAGTCTTAAGTTTCTAACTAGAAATTTTTCCTACCACAAGCATTTCTAATAATGTATCCCCCAAAGGTGGGATTATTACACTTTGAAATGGAATGTGAATGTATTTATTTAGAAAGTCAATATTTAAAGTTAAATACATATTTTCTTAAATTTGGTCTTGGGTATGGCTTAGAAAAAGCTTGAACAGCTGCTCATCAAATACCCTCCTGAAGAAGTAGAATCTCGACGCTGGCAGAAGATAGCAGATGAACTGGGCAACAGGACAGCAAAACAGGTAATTGAGGAGATGACTGCAGATTGCTGGCATGCTTTTGGTAGTTTTTTAATAAAGGAGAATAATGCAGCTGACATCGGGCAATCTGCCATAACACTGTGAGCTACAGAGTGCTGCAGTGTGTTTTTTGTTTGTTTGTTTGTTTTTTAATTGTATGTATATTTGTTGATTTCAGAAACAATTTGAGATGTTTCTGCTTTGGATCATTAAAAAATATTTAAAAATGAACATATAATGGACTTAGTTTCTCTTGAATGCTTACTAAGCATACTAATTGTATACTTTTTGGTTATACTGTGCAAACAGATTTATTTCATTGCCTTAGTATTCTCTGGTTGTCTTTCTAAAAATGTATCTTGCAGTTTACTCCTTCATATTCCCATCTATATTAATAGATGTGTTTTTATACTACAAACATAAGTGTTCACAAGTTGAAATACGTGTTTAGCTTTGGAATCAATCAAATTTAAATTTACTTGAATAATTTTTCTTTTGCCCAAATTTTAAAATATATGTGTATTTGGTGGCAGTTTATTGTTATTTCTAGATTCATGATGAGCATTGAATTGTTAGGATTCATTAGATACGCATGTACATTTTAATTTTTAAAAACAACTCAGGTGTTGTATGTCATCTCATTGTGTTAAGAGACTTGTCGTGTTTCTTTAGGTTGCCAGCCGAGTACAGAAGTATTTCATAAAGCTAACTAAAGCTGGTATTCCAGTACCAGGCAGAACACCAAACTTATATATATACTCCAAAAAGGTAAAAAGAAAATACAGGAAAGTAAATTGTAGATTAAATTTATTAAAGTAAGAATTGCTATGTAAAAATGTACACATTTGACAGAATAGCATTGTTTTATTTTAAAACCTCTGTTGTTTCTAAGCATTTCCTTATAGTGTGCATAAATGCAGGATGTGGACTCCATTGTTGCTGCTCAGTGAAATTCTTTGAGCTTTAATGATTCTTCATTTTTTTTTTTTGGCAGTAATATGAATGAGTGCTACCTGAAAGATTGTAGATTCAGAATATGTTAGAAAGGCCTTTGTGAGGGTAAAGTTTTTAGGATATTTGATTATTTAATAAGTACAATCAATTTCTGTCTTGTAGATAATGCTACCTAAATCCAAGAATAGAAAGGGTTATTATGATATTCTAAAGCCAGTCATAGTGGTGTGCACCTGCTGTCCCAGCTACTCAGGAGGCTGAGGGAGGAGAAGTACTTGAGGCCAGGAGTTCAAGTCCAACTTGGGCAACATAGTGAGATCCCATGTCTTTAAAAAAGTAAAATATTTTATTTAATGCTTACTACAATTCTTGAAGTATAAATAGTCTTATCTTCACTTTACTCATAATAATATTAACAGCTAGCTGTTTTCCTTACTGTTGGGGGCTCTGGGCCAGGCTCTACTATTCTATAACCTTTCATTAGATAAGGAAACTGGGCCCTCAGGTATGTTGAGTAAATTATCTAGTCACTTAGCTGTTAAGTCTGGGAACCACTGATTCTCTCATTCTGATGCCAAGCTTTTCCCATGATTCTCTGTTGCTTTCTATGGTGGAGAAGCTACTGTTCGTTCCCAAACAGAAGACTGCATTAATATGTAGCTAGTTTCTTATACTTGTAAAAAAATATATATATATAATTGGCTGTTTTTCATTTTCTTAATAAGTTATCCTGGTATTTCCCCCTCCCCACCACTGCCGTCTTTCTCATAAAGAGAAGCTAAGAGTATATCTATTGCTGTTACCCTACCATATTGAAACCATTTAATATAATTTTACATTAAGTATATTGTCTATACAGTTTCATGCTTTACATATTAAAAAACATTTTTTTTAAACCAAGGTTTGGAAGCTTGTTTTAATTTGCCAGTTGTTTTAAATATTTTAGATTTCCCACCAAATATAGGATAACTTGTGTTAGATATGTAGAGTTCATCCTATAACTTTGGGATATTGGAACCTTACATTAACCAGTATTCTACATGAGAGGTCTAATTTTCATGATTAATTTCTAAGCTAACTTTATAGATGTGTTGTAACCATATGTTGTCATAGTTAACACTGGATAATGATAACAAAAGGAATACTGGAGAAACTACATGTGTTTTTTTTCCCTTGGGCATACTGTATTTTGGCTGTGAAGATCTAGTACAGCTATAGTTATAATGATTGTTTGCCAATATAGTTAAATTTGGGAACAGGCGAACTGATGGTTCTCCATGTAGCTGAGGGTATTCTTTGTGACTGTGCTATTGATCAAGACAGGCAGGCTACATAGTGGTGGAGAGTAAGAATTTGGGCACCACACAGGCCTAGTTTGTAATCCTGGTTTTACCACTATCTAGCTGCAACACACTGGACAAGAAACTTAACCTCCCTGTCTTCAGTGTCCTCATCTTTAAATTAGAGGTGATGATAACTACTTTATAGGAATGTTGTAAGGATTAAATGATACTGGCATACAGCAAGCTTGTCCAACCCATGGCCCACAGACCACGTGTGGCCCAGGACAGCTTTGAATGTGGCCCGACACAAATTGGTAAACTTTCTTAAAACATTACAATTTTTTTTTTTTTTAGTTTAGTGTATTTTATGTGTGGCCCAAGACAATTCTTCCAGTGTAGCCCAGGGAAGCCAAAAGGTTGGACATTCCTGGCATAAAGTAAGCAGTCAGTCAGTGTTAGATAAGTATTTTCAGATATTGATAATGTTATAGAAATTTTTCTTTTACTGGATAGTTTTATGTCTGGCATAGGCCACTTTATCCTCTCTGATCTTTTATAAGATGATCATAAGAGTTCAGTGCAGCCAGCATTTGACTGCCAAGAGTGGTGAATGCTGGGGATACAAATATAATATAGATATTGAGCATGTGGTCCATTTTACTGTTGTTGGGGTACTTCCCCTACATTTTTTTCTTTTTCTTAAGGCTAGTTGTGCTTTAAAAACCCAGAAAACATAGAAAAAGCAACAACGTAAAAGTGTGCTAAAGGATAGATGTAAAATTCTTCTGATAGACTTGTTGGAAATAAATTTGTATTTTTATATTTTCAATTCTTATAATGATTTTTCACTGTCCCAATTAAAAATTTGTTTTCTTACTTAGTCTTCAACAAGCAGACGACAGCACCCTCTTAATAAGCATCTCTTTAAGCCTTCCACGTTCATGACTTCACATGAACCACCAGTGTATATGGATGAAGATGATGATCGATCTTGTTTTCAGAGCCACATGAACACTGCTGTTGAAGAGGCATCAGTAAGTTATCTATTTAGTTATTATACACATCAAGGTATAGAAGGAGAGTAGGATTTTCTAATTATTTTCACTCTTCAGAGAATGTTGGTTTCTTCTCTTTTAATGAACAAGTCCAATGTATAGTTTTTAAGTAATGTGCTTTTGTGAAGAAAATTTCAAACATATACAAAAGTAAATTCGTATAATGAACCTTAACAATTATCAACGTGTGGCTACCTTCTTTTAATCTCTACTCCCTCCCTACCCACCTCACCTCTGCTCTGGATTATTTTGGAGCAAGTCCCAGATATTATACAGTATAATTATCATGTTTATAAAAAGATAATTTGTTATACAGTGAAATATATAGTCGCTGTTTATTATTTTTTTTTCTAATTTGTTCATTTGGGTTTGGATCCTCATAAAGCCTATAAATCACAATAGGTTCATTCTCCCTCTTTTACTTTCCTTTTTTCCCTCTCACAATGTTTTTGTTGAAGAACTGATTCATTTGTCCTGTAGAATTTTCCAGTATGGATCTTATTGATTACATCTCCTTGATGTCATTTAACCTGTTCCTCTGTTTTCTGAATTTCCCGTAAAGTCATATTAGGTCGAGAACATTGGTCAGATTCAGATGTATTTGTTTTTTAGGGTGGGCAGGACTACTTCACATGTACTTTTATCAGCCTGGTTGTCTCTTTTTTTGCTGTAAAAGCCACTGATCATTGCCTTGATCTATTAATTCTTTAGATGTTACAAAATAGTGATTATGCTATCATTTCTTCTTCATTTACTTGATGGACTATTCTATAAAGTAATCCCCCTGCCTCCCAATCAACTATTTGGTTACTCTGAGGTACATAATAGAAAAGGTGGGATAATTGCTCAATTCTCCCTTTATTTATTTATTTATTTGATTTTTTTTTTTTTTTTTTTTTTTTTTTGAGAGATAGTCTTAACCGTGTTGCCCAGGCTGGAGTGCAGTGGTGCGATCTCAGCTCATTATAGCCTCAGCCTCCCAGGTTCAAGCGATTCTTCTGCCTCAGCCACCTGAGCAGCTGGGACTACAGGCGTGCACCACCACGCCTGGATAATTTTTGTATTTTTAGTAGAGATGGGGTTTCACCATGTCAGCCAGAATAGTCTCAATCTCCTGACCTCGTGATCCACCTGCCTTGGCCTCCCAAAGTGTTGAGATTACAGGCATGAGCAACCGCACCCCACCTGTTTTCTTGTTTTTAAAATAATGAGTTCAGGCTGGGAGCGGTGACTCACACCTATAATCCCAGTACTTTGGGAGGCTCAGGCGGGCAGATCATCTGCGGTTGAGAGTTCAAGACCAGCCTGACCAACATGGAGAAACCCATCTCTATTAAAAATACAAAAAATTAACCAGGTGTGGTGCCACACACCTGTAATACCAGCTACTTGGGAGGCTGAGGTAGGAGAATTGCTTCAACCCGGGAGGCAGAGGTTTCAGTGAGCCGAATCCAGCCGTTGCACTCCACCCTGGGCAACAAGAGCAAAACTCTATCTCAAAAAAAAAAAAAAAAAAAAAAGAGAGAGAGAAATGATTAATATCTGCTGTGTCTTAAACAGCATTTGTGTATAATTTCATACTTTGTGTTTTATTAGAATTGCACATCTGAGAAATATTTATTTAAACTTACTATTTATCAGGCTTTGCTATGGATTAGATACATAGTTATGAAAAAATATGTTTGATCTTTATGCTTATAAATCTTAGTCTTGTGGGAGGAGATAAATGTGACTTACTTATCAGTCAGTCACACATTTTAAAAAGTGCTTCAGGCCGGGTGCTGTGGCTCACCCTTGTAATCCCAGCACTTTGGGAGGCCAAGGTGGGGAGATCACCTAAAGTCAGGAGTTCAAGACCAGCCTTGCTAACATGGTAAAAACCCTGTCTCTACTTAAAAAAAAAAAAAAAAAAAAAAAAAAAGCTGAGCATGGTGGTGCATGCCTCTAATCCCAGCTACTTAGGAGGCTGAGGCAGGAGAATTGAGTGAACCCGGGAGGTGGAGGTTGCCAGGAGCCGGGATCGCACCACTACACTCCAGCCTAGGCAACAAGACCAAAATCTCTGTCTCCAAAATAAATGAATGAATGAATGAATGCATGCATGCATGCATGCATGCTTCAAAGGAAAAATAGATGCTAACCTAATTATTTAAGAGGTACTTAATTTATATTGGGAGTTTCAGGGGAAGACCTGAGAAGGTGATAGTCAAGATGGTACTTGAACTATGGATAAAAATTGGCTGCATGAGGAGTGGTAGTGGAGTACTTAAAAGAAATACAGTTTGGCTAGGTGTGGTGGTTCACAACTGTAATCCTAGCACTGTTGGAAGCTGGGGCAGGAGGATCACTTGAGCCTAAGTTCATGACCAGCCTGGGCAACATAGTGAGACTCCATCTCTACAAAAAAGGAAAAAGAAAAAAATATCAGCCCGGCATGGTGATACATTCCTAAAGCCCTATCTGTTCAAGAGGCTGAGATGGGAGGATCACTTGAACTTGGGAGGTTGGGCCTGCAGTGAACCTGGATGATGCCACTGCATTCCAACCTGGGCGACAGAGGGAGAGTGTCTTCGAAAAACAAAAAGGTTGGACGCGGTGGTTCATGCCTGTAATCCCAGCACTTTGGGAGGCTGAGGTGGGTAGATCATGAGGTCAAGTGTTTGAGACCAGTCTGGCCAACATGGTGAAACCCTGTCTCTACTAAAAATACAAAAATTAGCCTGGCATGGTGGCACGTGCTTGTTGTCCCAGCTACTCAGAGGCTGAGGCAGAATTGCTTGAACCCGGGAGGTAGAGGTTGCAGTGAGCCAAGATCATGCCACTGCACTCCAGCCTGGGCAACAGAGTGAGACTCCATCTCAGCAACAAAAACCAAACAACAGCAAAACCCAAAACCCTCAGAAAAAAACACAAAAAAATAAAACCCAAAGGTACAGTTTGACAAATTGGCAAAATATGGTAGAGTGGATTGGATTTGATGTAATTTTTGTTGTTGATTTTATTTATTTTAAAATGAGGACCAGTTCAAATCATTCTGACTGCTTTAAAATAGCTACTCAAAATGTATATTTATGAAGCATTTGATGGAAAAATTTATAGATTTTTGTTTATCTTTTCAAAAAAGCGATAGATTACTTATATGTTATTTACTCTGTGACTTCAAAATCTCTATGTAGTTGTAGTCCCATTTGCTATTAGTCCCCCTTTAAGTAAGTTTAAGTTTAAAGTGGAAATTTTGAGGCTTTAAAAAATTTGTTTTAATTATGGTAAAATACACATAACATAAAATTTACCATTCTCACCATTTTTACAGTATACTGTTTAGCAGTACTATGTACAGTCACATTATTGTGCAGCTAGTCTCCAGAGCTCTCAGCTTATATGACCAAAATTCTGTACCTATTAAACATCTCCCCAGCCACCCTTCTTTCTAGCCTCTAGCAGTCATCATTCCGCTTTCTGTATCTATATATTTGACTACTCTGCATACCTCAAATAAGTGGAAGCATACAGTATTTGTCCTTTTGTGACTGGCCCGTTTCACCCAGCGTATGGTCTTGAAGGTCCATCTATTTTGTAGCATGTATCACAGTTTCCTTCCTTTTTAAGGCTACAGTATATTCCATTGTATACCACATTTTGTTTATTCATTCATTTGTTGATGGATACTTGTGTTGCTTCCACCTTTTGGCTGTTGGGAATAATGCTGCTGGGAACATGGGTATACAAATATCCTGTTTTCAGTTCTTTTGGGAAGTAGAATTGCTAGATTCTATGGTAATTTTATGTTACATTGTTTGAGGAGCCACTATACTGTTTTCCAAAGCAGCTCTATCATTTACGTTCTCACCAACAGTGCACGAGGATTCCAATTTATTTACATGCTTGCCAATGGTGGTTATTTTTTATTTGTTTTCTTTTTTTAGTAGTAGCCACCTACTGGGCGTGAAGTGATTTAATTTTTCTTAATCTTACCCATGCTGACCACATTTAATAATTATCCTTAAAATTTAAAAGCAAATTTTAAATCTTTAAAGTGTTTAGACTCTTTGCATTTGTAAAATATCTGAATTAAGTAAATTTTATGACATTTCTTAGCATATTATCTAATTATTTGGGTCACATTTATTAGTGTATAGCATTACTTATGTCATCTTTCTCAGTGGTGATATAGGGTGGTAATAACAATTATCTGACATATTTAGTTGACAAGAATTTGAAATGGATGAAACATGGTGGGGCCAGGCACGGTGGCACGCCCTGTAATCCCAGCAATAAGTGAGGCCTAGGTGAGCAAATCGCTTGAGCCCAGAAGTTCGGGACCAAGCTGAGCAACATGACGAAACCCCGTCACTACAAAAAAAAAAAAAAAAAAAAAAAAAAAAATAGCCGAGCTTGGTGGTGTGTGCCTGTCATCCCAACTACTTGGGAGGCTGAGGTGGGAGAATTGCTTGAGCTTGGGAGGTCAAGGCTGCAGAGAGCCCCTGCCATTGCACTCTACCCTGGGTGACAGAGTGAAACCCTGTCTCTAAAAAAAAAAAAAAAAAAAACCCAGGAAAAGTGAGAGATAAGATAGATGAAGTGTGAAATTGTAAAGAATCTTTTATTCAGCTGAAGACTTTGGACTTGATGTTATAGATAGTCAGGAAACCACTGGGAGCTTTTAAGTAATGGTAGGGGCAAAGGAGGGGGTGGATACTAGAGGACCAATTTGAGAGAGATTATAGAAAGTATTAAGAAACAACAGGATTTGTTATATTCGGTATAAGACAGAGTGAAAAACTGAGGATAACACTTAGATTTCTAACTTGGGCTGCTTTCTGTAAGCTCTTGTTTTCTTAATGTAAAATAAACATAGCACTTAATAATACCTATTGTAGCAGAGGAATGGGAGGGGGCAGGGCTTGTGTGGTCCAGGATTGGGAATTTACAGAACATGGGTCAAAGAACTGGGGATCCTTTTAGGAAATTAGTGAGCATGGGATCAGTCATTAGGTAGCAAAGGAAAGTAATGGATCCTGGGTGGCAGAGCACAAATGAATTGGGAGAATAGGTAGTAGAATAGTGATTAGAAATTTCAGTGAGGTTAAAAAATAAGCTGATTATTTGGGATGAGAATATGAAAGAAGTCGAAATAATAGTGGAGGTAGGAAATCTAAGCTTAATATTTTGGATATAAAACACTTATAGTTGAAGGCAAGGTCCAAGGTATGGCTGTTGGATGGGAGACTGAGAAGGACTGAAGATGAAGGTCATTTCAGTAGAATCAGTCTAAGATTAGAGGCCAGAAATAGGGAATTGGGCATCAGTGATGATCTAGAAGTTGCCTAGGATGATGAACCACAGTGTTGTCAGCAATTTTAAATATTCAAATTTTGCATGTTGACACTCTGAGTAGAAAACTACTTGTCGATTGGGAGGTGGGGGATGGTTCTGAACATGTGTATCTAAAAGTTCGGAACATAAATGGACTTTATACCTTGAAATCCAGTTTATTAAGGGATACTTCAACTTAATACATTTATTTTATTTTTTTAATTTTGAGACGAAGTCTTGCTCTGTTGCCCAGGCTGGAGTGCAGTGGTGCAATCTTGGCTTACTGCAACCTCCGCCTCCCAGGTTCAAGTGATTCTCCTGCCTCAGCTTCTCAAGTAGCTGGGATTACAGGTGTGTGCCATCATGCCCAGCTAATTTTTGTATTATCAGTAGAGACGGACTTTTGCCATGTTGGCTAGGCGGGTCTCGAACGCCTGACCTCAAGTGATCCACCTGCCTCGGCCTCTCAAAGTGTTGGGATTACAGGCATGAGCCACTGCACCTAGTCTACTTAATACATTTATGTAGTTTTTACTGTTTTTTTTTTTTTTTTTTCTTTTTATACTCCATTCTAAATAGCCATCTTTGTAACTCAGTTCATGCTGTTGAGTAAGAGAGAAATGTACTACTTTGATCATTGGGAGTGCAGAGCAAAAAACAAGAGTAGAGATTGGTTTGCTTGTTATTAAGAAAGTGTCATGTTTACAGAAGCACATGTAAAAATCCGTTAGATTGGAAAAGAGAAACTTCCTTAGATGAGGGAGAGGTAGATTACAAGTCACTCAAGTAACCATGAAAATGTAAAGATGGGATTGGCTCTCCAATAGTGTATGACAGAGGTGGGAATCGTGGCTGTCTTCTTCTTGTCCCTGCGTTGAAGCAGTCTGCTACAATTCAGAATTACTGTTGTGTTTAAAAAAAAAAAAAGCCCTCCAAAAGCATTCGTGGAAAATACTGCTAATAGCAGCACGAATTTTCTGAGTACTAAAAGATAGTTTAAAAATTAAACTATCACTAGAAAAATATTCTATATCAGTATTTCTTACACTTAATTCATTTTAATTATCAAACTAACATTTTTTTTTGATAGGATGATGAAAGTATTCCTATCATGTATAGGAATTTACCTGAATATAAAGAACTATTACAGTTTAAGAAGTTAAAGAAGCAGAAACTTCAGCAAATGCAAGCTGAAAGTGGATTTGTGCAACATGTGGGCTTTAAGGTAAGTTCTACGTAATCTTAGTATTCATTTAATTTAATTTAATTACTTTTTTTGGGACAGTCTTGTTCTGTTGCCCAGGCTGGAGTGCAGTGGCATGATCTCAGCTCACTCCAACCTCTTCCTCCCAGGATCAAGTGATTCTTGTGCCTTAGCCACCCAAGTAGCTGGGAACAGGTACACGCCACCATGCCCAGCTAATTTTTGTATTTTTAGTAGAGATGGGGTTTCACCATGTTGGCCAGGCTGGAGTATTCATTTAATTTTAAAAGGGCGATAAGAAATACTTTAAAATGGTTTTTGGAGTGTTAAACTCCAGAATTGCTAAGCATGTAGGGAAAAGTTTATCTTTTATCCCATTCATTTATATGAAGTAGTGGTGCCATCGTTCCTGATGTGAAGAGTTTATCACTTAGTAGAGTGAAGATAAACATATAGGTAGCTATGAATTAAGGTAAAATGTGAGAGACTTTTGTTTAGCTGTTTCTCTTTTTGTTGCTGTTCTTCATGGATCAGAAATGGGTTTTTTCCCTTTCTGATTGAGAGGCTAATAGAAATACATACACTTATTCCACAGAATTTTGTAACACACATTATGTTTCGGGCACTTTGCTAAGTGCTAGACATTCAGCAGTAAACAAAACAAACTCAGTTTCTGCCCTTACGCTGTTTTCATTCTCATAAGGAATTTAGAGAAGTTAAGCAAATCGTTGAGTGTGACTAGAGTACATACTAGAGATTGGGGGCAGCTTGCGCTGCCTTGGGAATTTTTGCTCAGGAGCTCATACTATCCTGAGAGGCTGGGGAACCATTGCATGATTTTAAGCAGAAAGTAACATGAAATTTACATTTTAGAAAGATCATTCTAGTTACTTAAACTATTAGGGGTGATGATCTTCAGGAAAGCAGTGGGTTTGGAACTGAACAGTTCTTCCCCTTATCATTTTGGCCATAGTGTGGAGACTTAATTAGACGAAGGAAAGACTAGAGTCAAGGACACTCGTTAGAGAGTCTTTTGATAATTTAGATAAAAGATGAGGGTGTCCTGAACTTGACTGGTGGCCATAGAAATAAAGATTGACAAGTTTGAGGAACCTTTAGGCATTAGAATTGACTTGGTTGGACTGGAGGAAGTAATAATGAGGCCATGAACTTGGTGGTGTTGGTGGGTACACATGAAAGTATTGATGTGTGTTAGGACTGGTAAATCAAATTGAAAACAAAATTATACCTTTGATCCTCTCGAGTAGCCAGTAGCCATACTATATTAAATGATTTTCCCTCTTGATCTTTCAGTGACACTGCTTCTCTATTAGAAATATTCCTAACTGGCAGCTCTGGCCTTTCAAAGAGAAACTTGCTGCACTTCTCATAATTTTGCTGCAACACCCAGCCATGGCTTGTTTGCCAGTCTGTCAGCCACTCTAGTTGGTCAGATGATCAAAGAAACTAGAAATTATATATCCTTTGATTTCTGAAAGCGCACAGAACACACTGAGGACTATCCTGATGCCACCATGCTGAGAAAGAGCTAGGTCTGCCTTTTTGACATGAGGCATTTGTTTAGGGAGCAATTCAGTAAGATAAAAGTTGGGATAGAATTTTATGGTTTCCTGGGTTAATATTAGCCCAGAGAACCTGTTGAAACAATTATGGATCATATTTACATAGTTTTAACTATGCTATTAACTCAGTGTTTCTCTACCATAGCCATCATACAATGGTTTGAGGTTCCTTTCAAGTAGATGGTTACAAATAACAAAACACCCAAGTTGGAGATGATTTACTTTTAAACATTTTTTAATAAATTTAAGCTGAAGGTTATCCCTTCTAACGTTTCTCTCACTCACCTGTATCTTGATATTGAGTGGATGGAATTTTATGTAGTTTGCCAGAAATTGTCTCTAACATGTAACCATTTGTGTGCCATATTACTGTCCTGTGCATGGAGAGAGAGATGTCTGTGCACATCATGTGTTTCCTTGCGGAAAATAAAAATGGTCGTGGAACAGTGTAAGTGAAAATCTTTTCTCTCTGAATCTTACAGTGTGATAACTGTGGCATAGAACCCATCCAGGGTGTTCGGTGGCATTGCCAGGATTGTCCTCCAGAAATGTCTTTGGATTTCTGTGATTCTTGTTCAGACTGGTAAGTGTTTTCTTCATTGTCGGTCTTCAGCTTAGACAAGAAAAGGGCTTCTCAGCCATTAGTGAATTTGATTTCAAACATAGAAAATATTAATAACCACACTTAGTGAATTAAACTTTGTTGTTCTAGGCAGTTTTTTTCTGTAATCATACCACATAGCAAGTAACTTTCCATTAGAGATTTTGATAGATTAATGGATTTAAACAGGGAGAGCTGTGAGGAAGCTTTGTAAGATACAGACTAAAAATGCATCCAATACCATGTAATTATATGTGTCTTTTTTTCCTTGTAGCCTACATGAAACAGATATTCACAAGGAAGATCACCAATTAGAACCTATTTATAGGTCAGAGACATTCTTAGACAGAGACTACTGTGTGTCCCAGGGCACCAGTTATAATTACCTTGACCCAAACTACTTTCCAGCAAACAGATGACATGGAAGAGAACATCATTTAGTAGTCCTCTTCAACACATAGCAATGGTATCATTGTTAATTATGTGCACAGTTTGGAAAGATTCTCTGCTTTCCCAGAAATGACACTCACAGCATGAGAGCTTCCTGAGTGTTCTCGTCAAGTACAGCTCTGCACCGTTGTGGCTCTAGATCACTGTTCAGCAGCTGAACATTCCTGGTGAGCAAAGGGTTTCCCTGGTGAATTTTTCACCACCGCCTTTTAGGTGGTGACCTTACATGGGTGAGATGGAACAAGAGCACACATTAAAGAGAGAGTAAATTCCAAAGGTTTCAAAGAACTTGGTCATAGATATGATAATGAGAAGACAAAGTATTTATATTAAAACAGTTTAGTAGCTTTCAGTTTTGTGAAAATAGTTTTCAGCACAGAAACTGACTTCTTTAGACAAAGTTTTAACCAATGATGGTGTTTGCTTCTAGGATATACACTTTAAAAGAACTCACTGTCCCAGTGGTGGTCATTGATGGCCTTTAGTAAATTGGAGCTGCTTAATCATATTGATATCTAATTTCTTTTAACCACAATGAATTGTCTTAATTACCAACAGCGAAGCACTACAGGAGGCAACTGTGGCATTGCTTCCTTAACCAGCTCATGGTGTGTGAATGTTATAAAATTGTCACTCAGATATATTTTTTAAATGTAATGTTATATAAGATGATCATGTGATGTGTACAAACTATGGTGAAAAGTGCCAGTGGTAATAACTGTGTAAAGTCTCTAATTCACAACATTAATTCCTTTAAAATACACAGCCTTCTGCCTCTGTATTTGGAGTTGTCAGTACAACTCATCAAAGAAAACTGCCTAATATAAAAATCATATATATGGTAAAAATTTCCCTCTTTTGTAGTCTGCACAAGATCCATAAAAGATTGTATTTTTATTACTATTTAAACAAGTGATTAAATTTAGTCTGCGCAGTGAGCAAGAGTTCACATGCATTCTTTTATACTGCTGGATTTTGTTGTGCATCATTTAAAACATTTTGTATGTTTCTTCTTATCTGTGTATACAGTATGTTCTTGAATGATGTTCATTTGTCAGGAGAACTGTGAGAAATAAACTATGTGGATACTGTCTGTTTATATTATAGAACGCTTGTTGTGACTTCCTTTTGGTTAGATTTTGGAGTTTTTTTTAACCAGTGTTAAAACCAGAAATTGGTATTTTTTTTCAATGGTTTGCCTCACGTATTTAAGAGTTTTCTTTCTGTTTCTTATGAAGAATAAGGAATATATTATGGATAAGAGGGTGATCTTAAGCAACCCTGTAAAATATGGTAATGTTTTTTACTCAGCGTGTGCTGAAACACTAAATTAAATGAGCTTACAAAAAGAAAACACAGACTATGGTTAAAGAAAAAAGCAATTATTAATGCTCAGGTGTGAAAATTAAGTTGAAATTTTTTTTTCTAGTCGTGTCTCATGAAAATAATCACCCCCCCCCCAATGTATTCAGACAGACGGCTTTTGAAAAATCACCTTGTTTCCTGGAAATTACTATTAACTATAGGAAAAGATAGTATAAATATTCTAAGATTGATTAAGTGTTATATTTGACCCAATTTTTAGAATCACCTGTTTTTTCCTATTTTAAATCAAGAGAACATTATCTATTAGTTCTCTTCAGTACATATCAGGGTACTAAAATCATACCCTGAATTTTTTTAAATTGAGAAAAGTAATAGAATTTTAAATATAGAAATATGAAAATTTTAAAGTAATATATTAAGGATCACTGATGATATAGATATAATATATCACAACAGAAGGAAAAGTAAATGGACTTGGGCTTAACTTCTCACCCTGGAATTACTAGTGGGGTGAAGAGGGGAATTATTAGCATTCTGGGCATTTTTATATTAAATGTTTTGTGAATGTGCCAGAAGATCTGCCTTCAACTTGTTAATTAGGTAAGATAGTTAACACTTGATGGTAACTTCTATGTTTGTGTAGAAATAATACCAATTAGTTTTGGAAAGCCATTCAGATCCATTCAAAAATTCCATGAAGTATGATGTTTGCTTTGGAAGAGGGCTATGAGTGATACAATCGTTGTATAAATGGAATAGACAAGCCGCTTGAATGCATTTTCAAGGGCAAACATTTTTTGAGATTTTTGAGTAATAAAGAGGATTTTCTGCTTAAGCAGATGATGTGTTTACTTTGCATTTTTCAGCTCCAGGAAAATAGCCCCCATGGCTTTAAAAGGCCCTGAAGTTCAGATAATAGCAGGTAGTGTTTTGTTGTTGTTTTGAGAATTGCAAGAATAATGGGCAGAGCTGTCATTTGCCAGTAGGCGCCCATCTGCCTACACAGAATTATTGACTGTAAGCTAAAACGGACTGTAAAAGACCTGTTTGCTAAAGCATTGCTTATTCAGTGGTATTCAGTAGATAAGATCTATTTCCTGATATATTGTGCTCAAGTTATTTGCACAACTGAAGAAACATTTAATGACGTCTAAAACCATTGCTGTAAGGTTTAGGCAGAGGAAGCTTCCTTTTGTGTGATGCATAATAATAATAGAAAACACTGCTACAGTGTTTACTATGTGCCAAGCAAGCAAATAACAACTAATTTAATTCTCAGCAACCCTATGAGGCAGGTTCATTTATTATCCTGTTATCATATGAGGAAATCTAGCCAGAGAGAAGTTAACTAACCTGCCCAAGGTCATATACCTAGTAAAGCAGTGATGCTTGGACTTTAACTTAGACAGATTACTTCAGAGTCAGCGTCTGCCTTACTACCCTGTTTCCTGAGCAGGAAATTTCCCCTTGTGTCAGGCAACACTAGGTGTTAGGAGTGGAGTTGTGCAGATGTTGCCTTACATTCTGTTTTCCTGACGGGGTGTGCTTCCTAAGAGTACAAACCTCACCATATGTCCAGGCTTGCGAAGTCTCAGGCAAAGCTGGGACAAAGGCTTGTGTTTCCTGCCTCAGGTAGGATTTTCTTCTATGCATGTTGGGTGCTTTTCACTTAACTTAATAGTATGCCTTGTCTATTTTCCCCCTTCCCCTTTTTGTTTAAATTAAATCACAGAACACAACAATTTACTGAGGTATGAGGAACATTTAAAAAAAAGAAAGAGATAGAGAAAATGGTACATCACATGTAATAAAGATAAATATTGTTTTGTGAAATGTCTTTTTCAATCATAAATATAAGTATTGTGTGCTATATAAAACTGTTTCTTACTGTGGATAATGAAGTTTGAAGCCTGTTATTCATCTATAGATACACTGGATGGGATTGGAAGTCTTCAGATTTCAGTAGGTTTTTCTATAATCCTATGAAGGCATTGTTTAGGCTGTAAACTGTTTGTTTTTATTTCTTGATGAAAAATGTGCTTCTGTTTATATGATCCCAGAAAAAATATATAACTTTTTTTTTCTTACAGTTCATATAGCTAAGCTAACTAGATTTTTCAGAGTTATGATATATTTAGCTCCATGAGAACAGAGACCATCCATGTCTGTCTGTATCTCTAGGGCCTGGCATTTAATAGATTCTCAATAAATATGTGTTGGTTGTATGACCAACATTTTGGCGAGTTTACATTTTTTCCTCCAGGAACTTAAGAGATACTACCTATGACTGAGTGTGTCTGTGAGATCCTTAGAGGGCTTGCCTCAGAAGGTCATCTTGACAGTGCTGTGAGAGGACAGGGGAATTGGATTCTATCTTGCCTGAAGGCTGTGGTTCAACCCTGGTTGGCGGAGGTGGTTTTGGTTCTTTGAGGGCCCCTAGTTAGGCTGTGTATCTTGATTCTCTACCATGTTTTCAAGAGTGATATAACAGAGCTGGGCACGGTGACACACCTGTTATCCCAGCACTTTGGGAGGCCAAGGCTGGTGGATTGCTTGAGTCTAAGAGTTCGAGAGCAGCCTGGGCAACATTGCAAAACCCTGTGTTTACTAAAAATACCAAAAAAAATTAGCTGGGCATGGTGGCACGTGCCTGTAGTCTGAGCTACTTGGGAGGCTGACGGCGGAGGGGGATTACCTGAACTTGGAAAGTTGAGGCTATAGTAGATTGCGCCACTGCATAGTAGCCTAGGGGAGAACACTGTCTCAAAAAAAAATGATCATGTAATGGAAAGGACACTGGAGTGGAAAGTCTGGGTTTTAGTCCCAGTTGTGGAAGTGAAACACTCAAGTGTTGACATAGAGCTACCTTTCATTGCACATTAGGAGCTAGTAAACGATCTGTGTGTCTTACTAACTTTCGTTTAATCCTCACAGTTCTTCTCTGAGGTTCATTACTATTATGTTCTCCATTGTATACATGAGAAAACTGGACGTGCAGAGAGTATGGTAAATATGTTAGCTCTCAATATTAATTACTGTGTGTGGGACTGGAGCTACCAAGCCGTGTCCTTATAGAGACTGTAATCTAATGCAGAAGACCAGTAATAAGTAAGTAAATAAAAACTATTACTTAATTTGAGGCAGGGATAAATGCTTTGAAGATATTTCATGCTCAGAGAAAAATAATAATGGGAGAATGGGGAATAGTCTGCCATTTTAGATAGAATAAGCAAAGAAATCCTCTGTTGGCCAGGATAAGTTCCAATAAATAGAAACCAGAATGGAGCGAGGGAAATTGCTGCATGAATAATGCACGGGCCCTGAGCCACTAAAGAGCTTGGCTTGTTGGGGCAACATTAAGTTGGCCAGTGTAGCTTAAGCCAAATGAGCAAGAGGTGAGTAGTAGCTGATGGTGTCAGAGAGGGCACAGGGCAGCTCAGATATGGCCTTGAAGACAGATCACTGTAAAGGAGTTTATAATGTTCTGATGTGTTCTACACACACACAAGTCTTTTGCTAGACAGAGACCTCTCAGGTCTTTTCCATTATTAAAGTCTTATGACTTTAAAGTAGCGAGATCATTTCAGGTCATTCGAATCAGTAACATGTTCTAGAGAAGAGTTGATTTGTACTTCTAGATACTCTTCAGGGGCAAAGCCATTTCAAGATAGCTGTTAGCTACAGTCATAAAAACCATGGCTGGGCCTTTCTGCCCCTCTGCTGTCTCATTTTCCTTACCTGTGCTGTCAGAGCTGTGCTGGGCATGGACTGTTTGTTTGCCAGTATGTGGTATGTATTTCAAGAATGTCAATCCCTACAGGAGTCATTTTATGTTTTCTGGCACAACTGATGATTTTCATCCTGTAACCTTTTGTTTTTCCCAGTTTGCACAAGTACTTGTGCTCCCCGACAGAGAGTGTGACAACTTGGAGTAGTAATAAAGTATTTGACAACTGTTTGAGTTGTGGGAACATGCCCTTTTTTGTTAATAGAGGCATAATTGTAACCAAAGAAATTTAATTTCTTCTTTAGCAAACACTGACATTTCTGTTTCAGAATGAGTGCTAGAGAAAAAAGGAAATATGAAAATTACCATGTATCATGAATACATTGAGTTCTCTCTGTAATAACTCAGAACTGATTTATAGCTAAAATTAAAACCATATAAGAAGTATATCGTAAATCTTGACTATTTCTGTGTTTGCTTCTAATTCTGTAAGGAATAAGTCTTCAAATGCTTTCCAGAATGATGTGAAGTTACAAATAAATAGAAAAAGAGTTATCCTGTCTTCATTTATTTTATTTGTACATATCCATGTCAAGAAAAAATGACTTAAAAAATACAATTCTACCCAGAAATGGATCCTTATCTACACAACCACTGAAGAAGAAAAAAACCATGCAAACCCAAACTATTATTTTTTTGTAGTGACTGAGTGGAAGATGCAGTTATTCCAGTAGAATATATAAGAAGCTCTGATTTGACAACTGATAGCACAAAAGAGGACCCAGACTTCACTGGTAATGCAAGGAAACACAGTTTTGCAAATGGGTATGACAAAGTTTGCAAGCTCCTGGAAAGGGCCCATATGAAACAAACATTGAACACACCACTTACTGACATGCCCCTCCCACCCACATCAGTTTTGTTATGGTATGTTTTACTTGCTTGGCAACAAATAAATGGGTGACCGTTTAAAATCAAAATTATAATTTGATATGTATCCAGTGAATGAAATAGCAAATCACTTGAAGCTTTAAATTTCTTTTGGTCATTGATAATTAATTTATAATTGCTTTTCAGCAATTATGAAATGCGTCACCATGTAGAGAAGAGACTAGGTTCCCCAACTTAACAGATTTGTTCTCTTAGCCATAATGACAGTATTCCAAGTTTCTTAAAAATAATAGAGAATGTTACTGATGATGACTAACCTGGGTTTTGCTGTCTTGGAAAAGCTATGCAATTTCATATTTTAAAACTTCTATCAAATTTTACTTGCTTGATGCCTCTATATCATGTACAAAGCATTGTGTAATCAACCTACCTTATGGCTCTGAGCCACTAGTGGATGAGAGTTGAGGAAACAGACACCAAAGAAAATGCCCAGGCCTATCCCCTGTGCCAGGGGCCTTCATCGGGGAACAGTATATAAATCCTGGGGAGAGGAAGGTGTGATTGGGAGTGAGGGGTGCTTAATGAGAACCAGATGATCAGGCTCTAGAAAGGCCTGCTATCACAATGGACACCAACTGGCACGGCACCACTGTTCATGTACTGACTAGCTCTGAGTGCGGCCTGCATGATACAAAGGGTGCGTGCTGTGAGCAGAGACAGCTGTCTGAAGTATGGAGAAGAGATTGATAATCCCAAATATACCATGCATGATTTCCAGACACCTCACACAGGTCTAGCTGGGAAGTAAACAGTGCTGTCAGGATTTGGGAGGGGGAACACAAAAGGTTTAACTTGAAACATTGAAAGGAATGACCTTTTTAATATTTTTATCTGTTTCCACTCTAACAAACGTGCATTTTCGCCTTCAGAAAATAGAGTCAATAGCTGCGCAGAGTTGAAGAAAAACATCCTCTGGCGTTCCCTCTGCATTTATCTATATTTAAAAGGAAAAAAAGAGTTAGTCTGAAATATGTGTAAATAAAATCATGCTTAATAATGAAAGATCACTTGCTTACAATTTGCTCTCAAAATTTTAAAACACAAGACCTCCAAAAAACAAGAAAAAGTGAAGAGTAGTGGTTTTAAAACAAGGTGTCTCAATTAAAACAGCAATGAAGTACCACTACACATCTATTAGAATAGCCAAAATCCAAAGCACTGACACGGCCGAATGCTGGCGAGGACATGGAGCAATAGGGACTCTCATTCATTGTGGGAACACAAAATGGTACACCCACTTCAGAAGACACTGCAGTTTCTTAAGCTAAACATACTCTTACCAGACTTTTTATTGCACTTCTTGGTGTTTGCCCAGATGAGCTGAAAACTGAACATCTACCCAAAGACCTGCGTACAGATGTTGACAGCAACTTCATGCATAACTGACAAAACTTGGAAGCACCCAGTATGCTCTTCAGTATTTTAATGGTTGGATAAACTGGCATATCCAGACAGACTGGGGAGTATTATTCAGTGCTAAACTTAAATATATATTACTAAGTGATACAAGCTCCTCTGAAGAGGGTACATATTGTATGGTTACAATTATATGACATTCTAGAAAAGTCAAAACTGGAGACAGTTTTAAAAAGATCAGTGGTTGATGTGTTAGCGGGCAGGGAGGGATGGGTAGGTAGAGTAGATTTTTAGAGAAGTGTGACTAGTATATGGGAAATCTTTGCTCAGTTTTGCAGTGAATCTAAACTCTAAAAAGGATAGTCTATATAAAACAGTTCCTATTTAAGTAAAGCATTGCTAGGGGTCATGGAAAGACTGGAGTTACTTAAATTGAGACTTGAGTGTTCTAGAGCATTTGGGAATAGGGCAGAGGTTGGGGGATGAGGGGGAGAGGTGTGGAGAAGAAAGCAAAAGGCTAGGACCGCAGTGTATAGGTGTGCTAAGGGCAGAGTCCGCTTGGAGACTTGGTACACCAGCAGAAGGAGGACATAGCAAGGGGAGCTGATTTTCTGGGCATCAAAGTACTGCTCCTTCCTCTCGTAACATTGCACCGACCACGGAGATTTGTTTCATCACACCTGCAACATCTACAGAAAGTAAAGGCCTGACCAAGGACGGGAAGCACCTGG